CCCCAAAACCCCAAAACCCCAAAACCCCAAAACCCCAAAACCCCTTTTAAATTAAGAAATAGAATAAATATCTAAAGCAAATGGAGCATACAGAGAATAAGGCCAGAGTGGCCAAATCATGGTTCATAGATTCCAAGAAAGGGAATATTAAATAATGAGTATTTCTTCGAGAAAAAACTGGGTACTGGTGGATATGGAGCAGTCTATCTTGCCAAAAATAAGAAGACTGGTAACTATGTTGCCATCAAAGCCATCCAGAAACTCAAAGTCAAAGATTATGAAAGCTTTGTCACAGAAATGAATATTCTCAGAGGCCTCGACCACCCCAACATCTACAAGCTCTACGAAACATGGGAAACAGACCGCATCTGATTCTTGTCGACTGAGTATTGCAAAGGAGGAGAATTGTTTTACTTCATCGTCAAGCAAGATGCCAAACACCTAACCGAAGAAGAAGCAGCTCTCATCATGAGGCAAGGCTTTTCAGCACTGAAGTATCTTCATGAAAACAACATTTGCCACCGAGATATCAAGCCAGAGAACTTCTTGCTCTACAAAGACAAAAAGCCTGACAACATCAAGCTCATCGACTTCGGATTGGCTAAGAAGCTCTCTGAGAATGAGATCATGAGCAATCCGAACGGGACTGCCTACTACATCGCTCCGGAAGTGCTCAAAGGAGAATACACAGTCAAGTGAGATGTCTGGTCGATGGGAGTCGTGCTGTACATCATGTTGTGTGGGAGACCTCCATTCAAAGGCAAGTCCAACCCCGACATCATCAGCAGCGTGCTCAAAGGAGAATACCACTTCGATTACCCAGCCTTCGAGTCAGCCTCTGAAGAAGTCAAAGACTTCATTTCGAAGTGCCTCGAAATGGATGTGGACCAGCGGATGAGTGCAGCTGAAGCATATGACCACCCTTGGATTCAGATGCAGTGGAAGAAAGAAGAGCAGGACCTCACCATACCAGAAGATGTCCCTGACAGCATCCTGGAGTTCATGAATGCAGTCAACTTCAAGAAGACCACTTTGACATTCTTGGCTTCTCGCATCCCTGAAGACCAAATTGAGAACCTCAGGAAGGCATTCATCAAGATCGACAAGAATGGAGATGGAGTCCTTTCGAAAGAAGAACTTGTCGAAGGAGTCTCAGCAGTCCCCAAGTGAGACATCGACCCTGAGGACTGGGACTTGGTCATTCAGCTGATGGACACCAACAACAGCGGTAGCATCGACTACACGGAGTTCATCGCAGGGTGCATGCAGTCCTATGTGTACCTGAAAGAGAACAACCTGAAGCAGGCCTTCGAGTACTTCGACAAAGACGGAAACGGAACCATCACGCTTGAAGAACTCAAGGAGTCGCTGTGATCCGATGACTTGTTGCTTGACGAAGAAGAAATTGAAGACATCATCAAGCAGATCGACAAGAACCAGGACGGAATGATTGACTACAAGGAGTTTTTGGAGATGATGAAGAGCAACGACAAGATGAAGGGGCTCATTGATCCATAAGCATCGTCCTTTCCTCCTTATCATTCTAACTCAAAATCAATCTATTCCTTAACATTCGGGGTTTTGGGGTTTTGGGGTTTTGGGGTTTTGGGGTTTTGGGGTTTTGGGG